CGGAGGGAAAGGGGGCGCGGACCTGTCGGGGTCCGGCCGCCGAGGGAAAACACCGGAGCGCGAGTGACCGCGAAATTGGGGGACTGAGTAAAGAAGGAGCGTGCCTCGACGGGCAAGGCGCGGAGCAGTCACACACCAACCCCAAACCCAAGCGAGCCCCAAAACTTACCCCTGTGAAAATCTCCTAAGCAAGGATCGGGGTCTAGAAATCTATACTGAACAGAAGCAGTGGAGAATATTTTTCTGAGTCTCAGGGCAGAAGCTCTTTCTCTATATTCTTGGTTGAGTGAGCACATCCAGGTGTGAAATTGTTTGCACACCCCAGCACCTCTTATATTGCCAGCAAAATTAGCTGTTATTACTGTCACTGTTTAGTGATGGTTAGCTTGATAAAAAAAAACCTGCTGTAATCAAGACCTGGCGCATCTTTGCAAATTACAGATAATTGTAAACGTCCAGATTATGATAATAGCATCCTAATCCAGCCTGCAATATAATTATTACAGAGTGTTACATCTGAAACTGTCCAGTAGGGCTAATTCAGCCATTATTTAGACCCTATTTTTGCACTGCAAATGGGTTGCTGAGTTGAAAATGTACGATTGTAATTTCACGGGGCACTCAATGAGTAATGGTATAGGGAGAGAAAAATACAAAAGTGGAATGTGAACAGTAGCGATCAAATCAAACTCTGAAGGACAAAAGACTGTTTGATTCATAGGGAATGAGAAGAGCGGGAATTAAGAAAACAGCAAATCAGTGGTCTGCAGCGTTACGTGTCCAAATCTCAACGAGTGCGAGCCTGATGTGCAGTCAGGGGCTGATGCTTCGGCTCCCGCCTTGCATGAGTCCACCTCTCGCTCGGCTCTTCCCGGCAGCCTCTCCCTGGCACCCGAAGAATCCCCGCGCTCTCCACCCATCCCCAAAAGTGGGCTCGCCATTGTCGTGTGCCTCCTCTCAGGTGACTGAACGTCACTTTCGGGCAAGAAGCCTCTGGAGACTCGGAATCGGGTGGAGAAGAGTGCGGAATGCGGGACTTCGGGGCCAGGGACTCTCCGGGAGGCTGTGGAGTCCGAGGCCTTTTGCGCTCCCGTGCACCCGTCCTCAGGGGTCCTTACGGAAATTATCACAAAACCGACTCAATTGTAATTAATTAACCAAAAGAGTCTGGCTAACAGGACTACCTGCAGCTAGCGAGGTTAACTCACTGGGTTAGTTGGCTTTCGACTCCTGATTAACTTTTATTAACCCTGGACACGAAATACAAAAACCCGCTTCATTTTTTAATGGGCTAAATCATCAAAGCGCCGTTGCCGCCGGGCCCCGCAGGACCCGGGTGCAGGGAGGCAGCACCCGGAGCTGGCCCCGTGGGCAGGTCGGCTGCCAGTCCCGGTCCTTGCTGGCCTCCCCGGGCCGCAGCCGCGCTTGGCACCTCGCAGTCTTTCGCTGTGCCCTTTTCTCCATGCGAATTAGTGAAAACTCTTCAAAGAAAGGAAAGCTCAGTGGATACCGCGAGGCAAAAGCCCTATAAAACGTGTTATATGGTGCGTATCGAGGAGACTGTAAAGATCTCCTTGAATGGAGGGCCAGCTTCGCAGCCAGGCAGACGATGCCGGTACAGAGCACAGAGCCGGGTCAGGATCTGGCCCGCCGAAGCTGGATGAGCCATCCTGCAAAGGCCAGGCTGCAGCCTGGCTCCCAGCCTCTCTGGGAGTGCCGAGGAGACAGCGGGAGGGGAGCGAGAAGTCATCCCCAGACTCCCCTTCACCAAGTGCTCAATCCGTCGCGGATTCTGGCCTGGGCCGGCTCCCCCGGGGCCTCAGCTGAAGGGAAATAAGGAGGCGAGAGAGCTGGGAGTTTTTCCCGCGACCTTGAAGGTCGTGTCCGTGGAAGGTGTTCTTACAGCCAGCCGGGGCGTGGGGTGAGTGTCGGCAATTCTCGGGTCTATATTCCAGGCAGATGAACCATTGCTTATCCACCCCAAATCACACATAAACAGACGCACCGCCGAACAAAGAGCAGAAATATTTAATTGATGCAACACAGATTCTCCCTAAAAAAGAGAGAGAAAGGGAGACTATGCAAACCATGCAGTTCCTTTTTCACGGCTCTTATCTGACCTATAAAACAGGTTATTGCGTTACTGCAGGCAATCGCTCAAATGACTGAAAGCAAGAAGAGGGGGTTCACACCCCATCCTCCCCCCTCCGCCCCGATTTTCCTGGAGCAATAGATCTCCTTTCCGTAATCCACAACCAAAACACCTAAAGTCTGTCAGTTGCAAAATTACGTGGCAGAAGTCTCTAATCGATGCCACATGTGGGATGCACTCTGGGGACACAGCGCTGCCGGCGGCGGAGCGGGCAGAGCGCGGAGGCCGCGCAGGCAGCGCAGCCGCAGGGGAGCGAATGCACCGGGGAGATCGAGGGGAGCAAGAGGGCGACAGGAACGCCTGACGAGCGGGCTGCCCTGCCGCAGTGACAGGTTGGAGGGGGTGGTTTTTCTTTCCCCGGGGAGGAGGGAAATGGAGGCACTTCTCTATGAGGCAGCCCTTTCCACCGGGCTGGAGGCTCTGTCCGTAGGGAGGTGCGGGGACGCCCGATGAGGGACAGCGAGGGCTCTTTGAAGGAAGCGGGAAGGTGCTCCCCTCGTATTCGTAGGTGGAGGATGGTCGGCAGCGTGTGTTCCTGGGTGTGGGTGTTGTGGGAGTGCGCCCCAGCCGGAGGCCAGTGCAGCCGGGGGTCGATCTGCTGTGGGTGTGAAAGCCCCAGGGGTGCAGGCAGTATCAGGAGCTCTCGATCTGGGGCATCTGGGGCTGCAGGCTGCTCTGTGTGTGTGTGTGTGTGTGTCTGCGCGTCTGTGTCTCTCTCTGTGTGTGTCAGGCCCTGTGGCTCAGCCCTGGAGCCGCTCGGCACCCACAGGAATGTGGCTCCTCTCGGCTCCCCGAGCTGCCCCGGCTCCACATGGAAGTGGCCGCCAGGAAAACAGAAGGGAGGAGAAGAGAGCGGAGAGGCGGGGGGAAAGCCCCGAGCCAGCAATCCACCGAGCCCAAACCCATCAGACAAAGGACAGTTCATCTCTTCCCCTTCCCGGGGAGGCAAAGGGGGAGGTCTGGACAAGCCAGGCTCCCTCCGGCCGCCGCCAGAGCCCAGGGGATGCACCCAGGCGGGGATAGGCGCCGGGGTATACCTGCCTGTGTGTGCGGGGACGAGGGGACAGGAACATCCCCATCGGCCCGAGGTTCTCATGGAGGGGCAGGAGGCCGTAGAACTCCAGTGTTCATTGGGGTCGGCGCCACGGCGAGAGCATATTTTCTCCTGTTTGGGGCAGGGATGTCAGACTCTCCCCAACCTGCCCAACACCATCCCGATCTGGGAGGAGGGGAAATTAAAAGGGAGAGCAGCCGGCAGGAGAACCGAGTGGAGCTGACTCGGCTGGCTCGGAGAAAGGAGAGGTGCCAGAGCCCAGTCCAGTGGTGGCTGTGTGAATTCCTATCCCTGCCTGGGATGGGAATTCCATCCTGCCTGCCGGCATCCCACTTTCCCGGAGCTGTTCTTGCACTGTCCTCCTGGGCCCTCCCGGCCCCTGCAGGTTACCGTAATCAAACAGCCCCGCTGCAGCTGCTCAGAGAAAAGGGTGGGTGGACCGACCTGGGAAATTGACTTCCACCTCTTGTGTCCAAGCCTTTCTGCAAAGGGAAGTGACCTCGGGGAAGGGAGAATCTCTTACTGCAGGTTGCATGCTTGTCTAGAGGGAAATGAGGAAAAGAACGGAAGAAAATGAAAAGGTCAAGCTTTTTTTTATTTTTGTTTTTGGTTGGTTTTCTTTTTGCACAGGGTGGAAGTTAGCAGAAGAGACAAATCCGAGCTTTTCGTGAGCCCCAAAGTCGGGGAAAGTACCTGAAACCTTGAGAGTGAAATGAGCAGAAACCGGTCCCCAGAACCGCTTGGGACGCGGGGAGCGGCAGAGCCCGCCCGGCAGCAGGCAGGGGTGGGCAGCCGGTGGTGGCTCTGACACCCCCACACCCTGACGTGCATGGAGCACAACCGAACAAACTGGTCTATTGTACTGCAAGACATTTACCAACCCCCAAACCTGTTACAAAACAGCAACCCCGGGCTTCTTTCTTTGGGAAGAAAACTACTCACGCACATGCACTCACGCACACGCACAGAACATGGCAGGCAGGAGCGGAGGGAGAAGAAAGGAGGGGGAGGACAGCAGGGAGAAAGACAAGAGACAGGTAAGTGTGCCCCAGGGCAGGAGCGTGCCTTTTCAGGCCTTGCCTCCCCCTCTGCCAGCACTCTCCCCTCCAGCCTCGGCTGCCAGGGAGGCATTTTTTATCTCGGGGATCCTTCAGCGATGCCTTTGGCACATTCATTGCTGTCGTCGTACCCCGCACGGCCGTGAATTACCGCTCCCCCCTTGGAAGGAGTGTCCCCGCGGGAACGGCTGCCGCGGGGGCCCCACCGGCCGGGGTTTCTGCTGGGAGAGGGGCCCACGCTCCCTAAGAGTGGTCCCAAGCCACTGGGCAGCGCACCGGCCACTCCGCCAAAGCCGTGCCTCCAGCACTGCACAGCGCTAGCGGCGGCTCTGCTGCACCGTTTTTTCCCCTAAATCGTGTATCTAGAGATAAAACAAAACCAATAAAAGTACCTCTCCAATGTCCCTCTTTCAGCCGCAGCCGCCGTAGGCTTTTACCAGGAGCGAGGGGAGCAGGGCTCTCATTTTATCCTTTTCACATATTTAGTGGCTCCCTTTGACGGAAACATAATTTGTATAATTAGCTGAGCGCACATGGGCGACTGATGGGCTGTGGAGTGTGCAGCTCTCGACGTTAATTGCTCTCAGGAAAGGATTCGGGGCGGCTTAGGCGAGAGACTTGCTTTCTAGCGTCAGGATGGGCAGCTTTCCCTTCGGCTTAAATCACTAAGGTGCGATAAGGTGTACGCGGTCCTGTCAGAGCCCCTTTTCCAGTGGGAAGAGAGCACCGCGGCCCCTTGGCTCGTCCGTGGGGACCTGCAAGGGCCACATCCTGCCAGCACGCCCGGGCTGCGGTGGCACTCCACGGCACTGCAACCAAATGTGAACTCCCAGCTCCCATCCTCTTTCCTCTGTCTCTCTCTGCAAGCAAATCAGTCTTATATTTTTTCCCTCTTATTAAGAGAACAAGGGGTAATTTGGAAACCTTTATCGTGGTCGAAATAATTTTATTTTATTCAGAATATACAGTTTAATTCCTCTATCTACAATTATTTACAGGGTTAAAATAACATTGAAAAAAGTCTCTGGAAAAATTGAGGTCATAGATTTCAAGGCACCATTGATAGTGTCCACAGCTGAGCCAAAAAATGTCCGTATTGTATAAAAAAGGGTTTCCTCTGAAATGCAATAAGTTACATGCACAAGCTTTACACATTTTAATCTTTTTGTTTGTTTCTTTTCCCTTTTAAAAATTCCCCATATGCATTCCTTTCGTTATTATTCCTTAACAGTAAAACACAGGAGTCCAAGGAACAGCAAAAAAAAATAATAAAAAAAATAAAATAATAGAGGTCAGACTCTAATAAATTGTCCCAGAGCCGAGTGCTAACGGGTGCTGTAGGGAGCCGTGGGGTTGGAGGTGAGAGTTGATGGAGTTGGCAGCGGGATACCAGGAAGTGGAGTTCTCCAGGTAGCTGGATGCAGGGGACGGGTTGGAGTTTGGAGGGTGAGCGTGTGCGTGGGCATGGTGGCTGAGGGAGCGGGACGAGCCCTGAGGTTCCCAAACCGCAGGTGACTGTGGAGAGTTGCAGGCCATGGGGTCGCTGGAGCTGGGGCTGTGCTCCGGAGGCATCTCCCCGTTTTTCATGATCTTCTTGATCTTGGATCTTTTATTCTGAAACCAGATTTTCACCTGGGAGCGGGGCAGGAGGAGAGGAGAATAGAGAAAAGAGGGAGTGGGGAGGGAAAGCGACCATTAATGCCCCAGCTGGTGCTTCGCGGACCCGGGAACCCGCGCCCTGACGCCCTCCCGCCCCTCCGCGGGGGCCGATCCAGCCCTTCCCGCCGCGCCAGGGTGAACGCGGGGTTCTGCGACCCTCCGGGGCCGAGTCGAGCCGAGCCGAACCGCTCGTGGTACCTGTGTCTGCGTGAGTCCCAGGGAAGCGGCCAGCTCAGCCCGCTCCGGCAGGGCGAGGTACTGGGTCTTCTGAAACCTCCTCTGCAACGCCGCCAGCTGAAAGCTGGAATAAATAGTCCGGGGTTTGCGCACTTTCTTTGGTTTGCCGTTCA